ACCCACATCATCCTCCCATCTATCATACAGTGATCCATAGGATCTTCTGCACCTATACTAAACATTAGTGGCAAAGATGATGAGCCCCTAACACTGAGTTCACTCTCATAATAAGAACCCACATCAACTCTATGATCAACTTATTGTGGTGGGAGATACTTATACATCAACTTTTTCATATATAATCAGATCTTCTATTTCACTACTTCTAACACTTTGGCTTAGGATACAACATTCTTATGAAAGCAGAGAAATGTTCGCTCATGCTTGTAACACTTCCTTTAACACTTTGTAATAATTACACTTAAAATAAATGTCTTGTTATATCTTCCAATCTCAACATGCATACAATTTCTTCATATCGAATTCTTTCTGCAACCAGCTGTGAATTTCTACTTGGCTTGACTATTTCTTACAAAATTATGGATTGAAGATTCTGATTCAAACAAATTTGAAAACATAAAACCATTCATATAAATAAATAAAAATTAGTGTCTAGGGATTATCACTAGATGGAAAAAAAAATTGATAGAGAAGGTGGTGATCCATGTGGAAAAAAAATTCTTGGTAAAGAGGGGGCAGCAATGGCAGAAGCACTAGCAGGGGGCGATAGCGGAAGCAGTAGAAGGTAGCAGTGGAGCTAAGGATGGCTGCTGGAAGCAGCAAACCAATAAAAGGCTAGTGCTTGTTTGAGAGGGGAAATTTCAAGTACAGCAAGAGGTTATTATGGAAGTAGAAAGTGGCGTCAGTGATGGTGATAAGGATGGTCGGCAGCATCGCCAGCCCAAATCTAGTGATTGCATGAAAAGGGCAATTTCATGTGCAGTAGGGGGTGGCAGCAGAAGAAACAAGCAGCGGTGATGCTAGGGATGGTTGGTAAAGGCAGCAACACTAGGAATGGCCTGCAATAGCGTGAGAGAAGAATTTCATGCATAAGAGGGTGTATTTGAGGGGTTGCATGAGTTGGTAGATTATAATATCAGATTAATTAAAAAAGACCCTTAAAACAAAAAGGAGCACACAATGAAGTTCAGGGAAGGCGTGCCTCATCAAATGTAAGGCACATAACTCAATTAAACCACGTGGGGTGAGTGACTGAGGCGCCTCACATTGGCAATTTTAATGGTAGCAAGTCAACTTCAATTCTCAAATAGAAATTACAGAGCAAAGATCACATAAGAAGTTAGGACTCAATGATTTGACATAATCTGAATATTGAATTTGAAAGACTACTATTAGGTGTGAGTGTGTGCGTGTAATTCTCTGTTAGTCAAGTCAAAATTAAAAAAAAAATTCTAGATCTTACATGTAAACTCGAGTTTGATTCCTACGTCACAGCTTTGATTGGACAAACTATTTAACATATCATATTATGAGTAATTAAGACAAAACAAAGGTTGTAAGCATGGCTGACTCCAACTATCACAACTGTCAATTCTATGGATCAGTTCTCCAAGTAAATAACAAGTCCACTCACAGTATTATATTCACTGATAACTCTCTTCTGAGATTCCATGCTTGCTCTAAACAATAAAAAGTTGACCACTGAACAGTTACAACTACCATTGTTTAAGCACTTAAAAAAATACTATTGGAGAAGAAAGAGAAGGAAATAAGCGATTCAAAATGCAGCGTGATCCCCTAAAGAGTAATATATAAAATTCTGAAGTGTCGTCAATTACAAGGATGCAATCCGTTGACCTAACAAGCTTGAGCTAGAATGTCAGAATTAAGTTGTATACAATTACAAAGATGTGCACCTACGCCTGACAGCAAATATAGTTCTAAAAGACCATGCTACTTAAAATTTTATTCAACGCAAACTTTTTCTGGTTGGCCTGCGATTTCAGTTTTCATATACATAAAGCTACTTTTTATGAGAAAAGTAGCCTAGAAGAAATATATTAATAATGTAATGTTTAGAAAGTTACTGTTTTTAAAATTATATTAAAATATGCATGTACCATTGAGTTAAAATAAGTTGTTTAGGCTGACTCCTCAATTAACCAGTAAAGAAAAAATTAGTGCAACATTCCTTCGGACTAATGTCTGCTGCATGTATAATACTTTTCAGGTTCCTAGGCTACTCAAATTACGCTTTTGCCAAAGACAGAAACAGTACAAAATTGAACAAGTGAACATATTTGGGTTTGAAAAAAGAAATTAAAATACTATGAAAGAGATTATTCCAACATTAGTTACAACATTATCTGGGAAACAAAAATTGAACACAGCTTGGATTTCTAAACGAGTACAAAAGCATCAGGCAAAAAAAAAAAGATAACAATTGGTGTGAATATAATACTATTCTTCTATAAAGATATCATTTGGTCACCAAACTACAGTTTTAGAAGGATTCGAAGGAGCTCTGGGGAATACGGAGGAGTAAAATGAGAACAAAATTGAGTAGAATAAAAAAGGAGAAGATAAATATTGAAGAGGATAGAGGAAAATAAATTGAAGATCTATTAGAAGCAAAGATCGGAGGGTGAACCGGGAGAGCAGAAGAAGAAATTGAAAAGAGACGAAAGGAGAATAAGTAGCAGCAGCAGTGGAGCAACTGTAGAGAAAGTGGTAGAAAATGAGGTACCCAGTGCATGCAGCTCCCTCCCATCAATGTTGGATCAAGGGGTTGATAAACACAGCCTTATCCTTACATTACTGAGAGGCTTTCTTCATGATTTGAACTAGTAAACTCGATGCTAAAATGTAGGAAACCAAAAAAATTCTAAGGATGTAAAATAATGAGAAGCAATAGAAGTCGATGGAGGAAAATCATTTGTGTGCGCCTTAAGAGTGTAAATTGAAAGACATGTTTATCCCTAGTTCTTGTTATAGCATATCCACATCTCGATACCATTTCCATGCTTTGATGCCCCAATCTAAAAACCAATGCTTCTCTGCTAATGGTGGGTAAGCAGGTTTGGCAGTAGCCTCGACTCCCCAAAAAGTATATACTCCCCAATAACCCATTCTGATACGCATAAAGTAGTTATTTTCAATTTATGTATGTTTTCATGCTAGCTTATTGATCATGCGCACAACCAAAAGGAACATTGAACTTGAGTGAAAATCATTAGTTGCATTTAGTTCATAGTGCGCTTTCATAATGACATTTTATTATTGAACCTAATCTTCCGTTTTCTTTAAGGGTGGTAAAACTAGCCTATTATTCCTCGTCCATCATAAACTCGATTTCACGTTTTGATCTGATTTTGGGGAAGATTTCCTATTTTTTGAGAAGTGGAGTGAAAAGTGAATCATTGTGGAGTACAAGACTACACCACAATAGATCGACCACATTCTAATATCCTCTCCTGTGGCTAATTGCAGTCCCTTCTTGTGACTGGTGGCGTCCAGCAAAAGGCTGCAGCATCCTGGCAATTGAAGACCAGCTGGCAGTGAAAATTTGGTAAAAAAAAACCTGCTGAAGCAACAGAGAATGGAGAGGACTTCTTCAAGGGTTAGGGAAGATAATTACAGGAATTCCATGCAACAAAAAACTTGCTGATCACCAGAATTAAATCAAAAATCCCTTCAACTGGTCTTTAGTTGTCATAATTTTTTTTCTTCTATTTTTATCTCTAAATCAGCAATAAACTACCTGCTTGTGTTCTTTGAAACTCTCTGCAGATGGCTCGTAGTCCAGCATATACTTGAACCAGTCACCAACTACCATCTGTAGGTGAGGGCAGGGAACAAATCAGAGAATCTGCTAAAGCAAAAGAGAGCCTGAACCAATGAGGAACAAATCGAGAATTCCACAAGAGTGGAACTTGCATGAGAAGGAGCCGGAACACCTCTTCTTGATCCCAAAATGCCTCTAAAGAGGTTTTGATATTCTTGAACTTTGGTTTATCATTGAATGCTTATGATATTTGATCTGCATTTTCTTCTTAATGGTCGTATTTCAAGAGGTTGGACATTCCAGCCAGAGAATTCAGCTCTTGAAATATACATTATTAGAGGAAGAAGCAAAACAAATTGACAAATTTAAAGGGAAAGAATTACGAGTGAAATGAAAAGAAACTCCACGTACACAATTTGGAGTGATCCACATACATCTTGATCTATGAAAGAAAAACGCACTCATGATTGGCCTTATCAATAATTCATAATCATTCAACAATCTGAAAGTTCATAGAAGCAGTCCCATTTATAAATAAGATTTAAAGTTATCCTCATTCAATCTAGCTAAAAAAAAAAAGACCATTCTTAGCTTATTAAATTTAATCTAAGGAATAAAGCATAAAAACTAATGTAGAATTTGGCTAAATTGATGAGGAATCTAACAGCCTTGATAAATTATTTGAATAAAATCCTTTGCAGCCTGATTTGACACCATGTAATTGGTTTCTGCTCTGAATGTCATTTTTTAATATACAGCACCACAAACGTATCTTCCTTCACCCAAAATTATTCCTTAGAGAAAGAAGATTAGGGAAGGAGGAGGTTCACCAAAAAAGAATTCAACCAAAATACTTCTCTAAAGAAACAGTAGTTGTAATCCATATTCTGAGCACCAATTAATGGCTCAAATAAACTCTTGCTCATCCACATTTTTAATTTGTATCCGCTAGTATCAGGAGAAGCTATCTTTCCGCATCACAGATTTAAATGCAAATTCATTTTTTTTTTCAAAATTATATTTTTTGTGTTACCATATTGATTGCGCACAAGAACCACAAGGAAAGTTGAATCTGAGAAAACTAGCAATCAAGAACATTTGCTCACAAATGCGATTAAGGGTTGAGGTGGGATAGAAGGTGTAAGTGAGGAACCACCAATAAAAACTTAACCATATAAACACCACTTGGTAAATCCTACACTTTCCCACAATAACTATGGAGCCTTTCCAAAATCATTACCCATCCCTATGTTTAAATCGTGTTGCCAACGTTTATGATACACAAATAAAGAATGAACATTACACTGGTATGCCTCTTCCCATGGCTATAATGGGTAAAAAATAAATTAAATTTGGAAAAACCATTCAATACCTAAGTTTTCCGAGTACAATGCCTGATTCGTTGGAACGAGAAAGCCCAATATCATCAGGAGAGATAATTTCATAAGTACCTTTGAATTTCAACATGCCATCCTACAAATTTTGAGAATAAAAGGTCATTATATGCAATTTAAAATGAGAGTACAAGTACTTGAGCATATAAAAGAACCACTTTGTCATAAAAGACACTAAGGGCACAACTTCAATCACAAAATGCAAATATAAAAACTAAAAATCAAAATAAGTAAAGATAGACCTAGAAAAGCTTAAGTTTCTTAAAAGGAAAAAAAATAATAAAGGAAATTTTGGTAAGCTGAATTTCAACGTGCCATCCTACAAATTTTGAGAATAAAAGGTCATTATATGCAATTTAAAATGAGAGTACAAGTACTTGAGCATATAAAAAAACCACTTTGTCATAAAAGACACTAAGGGCACAACTTCAATAAAAAAATGCAAATATAAAAACTAAAAATCAAAATAAGTAAAGATAGACCTAGAAAAGCTTAAGTTTCTTAAAAGGAAAAAAAATAACAAAGGAAATTTTGGTAAGCTGAATTTCAACATGACACTAAATACACTTCAAACTTCAATTGATAAAAAATTATTAAAATAGCAAATACTTCAAAAAAAAAAAAGAGCTTCTATGGAAAATAAGTATGCAAACTTATGATTAAAAGACATAAAAGGGGTGTTTGGAAGTCATGTTCCCACGTTGCAATAGTATAAAAGAAAAGCTTCCTCGTATCACTAACTCAGTTTTCATCTAAAGATTAATTGCTCTTAAGCTATTTCATCTTTTCAATTTTAGATATGCCTAAGGTTGAGTAATACAGGATAAGTTTTACTGGATGTTTCTGTGATGAATAGGAATATTCCTTTTTCATTCGGTTAGGGGTAATTTCAGCAAGGTGCAAATCCAACTCCTCACAAGCTGCTCTCCACCCTTCACAATAAACATGATCTCATTTTTTCTGATGATGACAACTTGAGGTTGACTCCTTTCTCTTTCACTATTGTCGACAAGTTTTTGGGGTCGCCTCAATCTTATGATTGTTCGTAGATTAAAGTCCGATTAGTAATTAATTAGAATTTTCCATTATACTAACAAATTTCCAACATCCAACACGAATCTCGAGATAATATTTTAACAAGAAACGTACAAACTTCAATCAAAAGTCATCCAGAACTCTAATTTCAAAAAACTTATAGTTAAACTGACCAGTTTAACGAGACATACCCAACAATACCAAAATTGAAATGATCCCAGAGCAATCTCATCGCTGAAGTACTTGCGAGCTTTGTTGCATGTCACTAGGTACAATACTCGCAACAATAATGTCCTACTCCAACACCCATCATTCCAGGGGACAGTCACAAAGTCAAGGACGACAGACCTTTGCATATTCTCACTCTAGAAGGTGTTTCCTTGCCAACGAAGTTGCCTAAGGTCTTTCTCTAGAAGACAGAGTACACAGAATGAGGGAATCTCAACTAATCCTACAGTTCCTACACAAAGCTCGGCAGTTGCTGCCCACTCCACATGATGGAGCTTAATTACCACTAGCTCAGCAGTCAACGAGAAAAACCCCACTCAAACTTACTTATATTGGGCCTCATATCCGTAATGGAACCATTCCCCTACCAGGATGAGATGTTGAACTCCTTGATGCTGAGATTTCCACTCATCCATCTCGTGCCACTCACCTAACACTACACGGCCTTGTTGCCGCTCCTGATGAGGTCATCTGCGATGAGCTCTGACACCTAATTCTAGAAGAGTTCCCTCTATACAATAGGGATCGTTTCCCCGCTCATTTCAACATTCAAGGGTCATCTCCATTAGCTAAGACAGTCCTCCCGCACCCCATCCCAGTAGATTTCAAGCTCCCGAACATTGATTCACGAAGAGATAACACCCCCTACGAGCATGTTAGACTACTATTGAACCATCATGCACATCCAACTGCCTCTAACGCGCTTCTTTGTCAAGTGTTCACGACCACTCATTAAGGGGCAAGCTTACACCTACTTCTACTCTCTTTTAGGGGGCACTATCAACACCTTTAACGAGTTTGCTAAGCTATTCACAAAGCAGTTCATCATGAATCGAAGGATCATCAAAGATTCATCACATCTCTCAAGAATTCGCTAGAATGAGGGAGTGCACACAAGGACCACTTCCGTAGGTTCTCCATTAAAACCGTCACATTCCTAGAGTAGATTCAGAATTGCTGAGAAGTGTCTTCTTTGAGAAGCTTTGCCCAGGACCTTTATAGTCATCATTAATGTGGAAAATACACCGCTCTTACGCCGAACTTGTCCACCGTTTCAAGGCCCAAACTACTACAGACGAGGCCATCAATACGCATAAGGAGCAATTCAAACAATTCAAGGAAAAATGCCAAAATAATGTTGGAGACACCGATAATTCCTTGCAGCAGGTTTCAAGGCCCAAACTACTACAGACGAGGCCATCAGTACGCATAAGGAGCAATTCAAACAATTCAGGGAAAAATGCCAAAATAATGTTGGAGACGCCGATAATTCCTTGCAGCATAAAAAGTCTGAACAATAAGGGAATCATAACGTCCCTCCTACAATCCAACGATGTGAACAAATTCCTGACCCCTCCAAGGATCGGTGTCATGCATGAAGATCAACAAATAACACAATCATGTTGCCTCAGGCAAATACAAACATGCTTATCAGTTACACAGCATCAAGAATTTTGATCTCCGAGATGAGGGCTAGCTCAGAGGGCCCCCTCCTAGAGTTCTTTAATATCACAGTCGCGGATCGTTTAGGGTGGAATGAAAGTTCAACCTTAAAGAATAACTCCTCACTCATAAACTCATAGATGTGTTGTCTCGAACTGTATCTCCTTGAGTTCCTGAAATCCTAGCATCTGTCAACCTTAAAGAATAACTCCTCACTCATAAACTCATAGATGTGTTGTCTCGAATTGTATCTCCTTGAGTTCTTGAAATCCTAGCATCTGTAATATTCTATCATCGGTAGTCTGAAGGGAGATGGTCGGCTGTTGAAGTTTCCCTTGCCTCTTACAAAACCTTGATCATTCCGGAGAAAGAAAAATCTCATGGATCACTATCGAAAGTCCAAAGTCGTCCTTAAACAACACACGACCATAATGTGTCGCTAACAAACCCGCCTTGTCTGACAAAAATTTTTGGCGCGTCAACTTCGACCTATGCTTCCTAAAAAAGGCAATCTGATGGTGATTGTCATTGCCCGACAAGAAAACTGGGTAATGCAAGCTCCGAAAGCCTTCATGATTTCTGTAAACTCGGGCGCAGGCGAAAATCACAGACCAGCTCGCAAGGCCACCTTGTGACAGCGAAGTACATGGAAGATGGGAATATGCTTGATCAGAGAGGGTCGACAACTTCACCACCATATTATTCGGAAAATGATATTTCTTCCGAAACAGGATTAGGTCACCATCCATCAAATTTGACATCATCTCTAATGGTTTTGGCACTTCCTCTAGTTTTAGGTGGAGCGAGGTTCCCCAGATGGTATCTTGATGGCACGAAAGAAAATCTCGTTAATCGCCTACCAAGCAGGCCGACGGGACACCTCTCATTTTCTATGAAATCTCGTTAATCGTCAACCCAGCAAGTCGACGGGACACCTCTCTTTTTCTAGGAAATTCCATTTTAGGTGGAGCGAGGTTCCCCAGATGGTATCTTGACGACACGAAAGAAAATCTCGTTAATCGCCTACCCAGCAGGCCGACGGACATCTCTCATTTTCTATGAAATCTCGTTAATCGTCAGCCCAGCAAGCCGAGGGGACACCTCTCTTTTTCTAGGAAATTCCATAGATTGCATGTTCAACTGACCGAGGGTACACATCTTTTTTTAGGAAATCTCGTTGACCGTCTGCTCGGTAGGAAGAGAGGACACCTTTCTTTTTCTAAGACATCGCGTTGATTGCATGCCCAACAAGTAGAAGGGACATCATTCTTTTTCAGGAAAATCTTGTTGGTCGCCCGCTATCAGGCCAAGGGGGCTCCACCTCCTCCCTGTTCTTCTTCCTTAATTATAGTGTCAAAGCCACTGACATTTATGGCAAAAAAATCATAATTCATCCCTACAGTAGCAAATGTAGGTTGTTAGATTTCGCACAATTTGATGGTTGGATCACGCAATCCATGTTAAAAAATGCTTTCCGTCATTAAAAAAAAATGCATTCGGTTGGTAAAAAAGCGCTAAAGGAAGGGCTAACATCATTGCGTCAATTATATGTTTGGAATTTGTAGGTTACATAAACATAATTTATATGCAAACGAAACAACTTTTCAAATTTACGTGCTAGAAAAAGGTGTCAAATTGGAATTTATATATATACATATATATAACATTCATACCAAATAATTCTTACGCGTATCAGCTGAGCTAAGCTCAACTTTCATACACATATGCATATAATTTATACGTATTTAAATCCAGAACACTAATCTCAATATAATATGTAAAAATATACATTATATTATATATATTTATGTATAACGAAAATATTATCATGCAAAGCTAAAGTGTTCCAGATTTCAATATTTTCAGACAATGAAATTCGTCTTCACTCGAAAATAGGGGCAATTGATATGCCTCAAATAAATTTTAAACATATAGCACGAATCTCAAGGCATGGCACTCGAGGTAATTTTTTATCTAGAAGACTTCAAACTTCGATTAAGGTTGTGTTTGTTTCTGTTTTCCAGGTCGCTTTCAAAACCAAATCTACAAATTAAGCATTTGATCGACACTTTCATAAATCACTTTAGAACCCGTGGTAGCTTTTTCTTCTCCCTCGCGATCATGGCCAGCATCGCGCGTTCCGCATTCGTTCGTGGTTTTACACACGCATGAGAAATTTCTCCCGCATTCATTCGTTGTTTTACCCATTAGGTTTAATCATTAAATGTTGTTTACAATTCTATATAACCTGTGGAATCTCACAGTTTTTAGATGTTTAGAATTCTATTTAACATAAACTTTACTATCATGTAATTCTCAAATAAAATATTTTAAAATTATAACATCTAAAAATTGTGAGGCATATAAAGTTTAATATTATTTTGTGGGGGCATGTACCACTTTACTCATTTTAATTAAATAATAAGCTAGGATAATTGATCATTATTATTCTTTACGAGACATAAAATTAAATAGATTTAAAAAATACAAAATTTGAGTTACAATTGAAAGTTAAAAATATTTTTATGCTCATTAAATTTATATGAGAATTACATGCATTGAAAAACTTTATGAATTCTATATAATATATACAGAGGGGTACTTCAGACATTTGTCCACATACAACACGTTCAAAGTTATATCTTTTAAAAAGATCTGCTTTTGAAACACCAGCTTTTAAACAATAACTTTTGAAGCGAGATTTCGTATACTCATAAGCCGAAACAAACACACCCAAAAAGTCATCCAAAATTTCAATTTCAACAAACTTATACTCAAGCTGACCGACTTCAAGCACTACTCGTCGACCGTCGTCGATCACCAACATAACTTATACTCAAGCTGACCGACTTCAAGCACTACTCCAACATACGCCTCCTATTCCTTGTGACGAAGCACTTAAATGATGCATCATCCCGAACATCGCGTTGATCCCAAAGACAGTGCATTGCAGCCCCGATTATTGCACTTGCGACCGCTCCCTACAGCGGGGCCAGAAGTCCTTCCACGCACTGACATTGTAACTTGAGAGGCGCCAAAGACAGTGCATTGCAGCCCCGATTATTGCACTTCCTTGAAACCGCTCCCTACAGCGGGGCCACAAGTCCTTCCGCGCACTGACATTGTAACTTGAGAGGCGCTGTAACTCTTTTATGTCTGTGGGACAAGAGACTGTACCTATAATCACCAACTTATATTGGATTTCTTCAACTAGATCAGGCCTCATGGTTTTTTCACTTTCCGGGTTATCCACGTTATATTTTTTGAAGGCTGTTTCAAGTGAATGTTGGTTGCTACTACTAAGCTTTCAAGTCATTAGCGGCTAGGAACTTGGCTAAAATGGATGTTATTATCCCTTTAGAGAACCAAATTTAAATCGGTTCCACAACTCATGGTTACAGACAGAAAGTAAAATTTGAATGTATTCCTTCATATCCTTCTTCTTACAAAAGTTATCATAACTTCATGGGTCGCTTTAAGGCTTACACAAAATTAAGTCAGTCAGTTTTTAGTAATCCTAGCAATCAAAACATAGAAAAGATTCAAAAGAACAGAACCACACTCCAGTTATTGTGATTGCAATACTGACTACTTACGATCAAGCTTAAACAAGAAAATTTGAATCCTCTTTAGATCTTATATTAAAATCAGAACCTTCTCAGGATATCCTCAACCAATGGAGGTGGTCAAGCGCTCAACAACAAGATCAATAATCTAGATCCACTAGATGTATTAACACCTCATGATAATCATGAAATTGGAGATATTGATCTAAATTCGCAATCCTATGACTTTGATGATAGTACTTCTAGTATAAAAAAGTAATACAAAATGTTTAAAATTTTCAGTAGGAAGAAATATATAACCGTTCTCCAAAGTTTACAAGACTTCAAGTAACTTCATTTTAAAAGTTGCATGATGATTCTCTCCCCCCATCTAAACTATCTATTTATATTGATGAAGAATTTTGGTTCTTTCCTCTTAAAGTAGCAGTTCTTTGCAAATGCTTGATGTTGTAATCTGTTCATTGACTGATTATAAATTGTTTGCTTTAAGAGAAAAAGTATCTGTAGTTTTCATTAGACTCCACTAAATTTGCTTGAATTTGGATAGCTTTTCATGAAAAGTATACGAAATGGAAACATAAAGCAAATACGCAAATAACAAAAGTTCCTGTACATTCAAGAAGTCAAAACCAGGGATGGAAAATCAAACCTGATGTATACCACTTTCATGAGCAAAAGCATTGGCACCAACAATAGCTTTATGCGGTTGAACATGTAAACCACTATACTCAGCAACCTGAAACAAAAGCATTACCAATGAAACTTCTACAGAGAAGTTTTCAAAAGCAAATGATGGCCCAATAATACCCAAACTTTCCCATACCTGAAAAGATTAACCTCAACTAAACTATACTCAAAAATTGAAATTGATATCAATTTTACTGTTTGCAGAAACCTAATTTAGTATTGTCATCACAAGCATTAGAGAATGCTGTGTTCACGTGCAGTGAAGAATAACGATGACAAAAAGAAAACAGCATAAACGTAGTGATTGGATTATGAATGAAAAATTAGCCGTATAAAAAAGAACATTCCTAGTATATGATGCATGCTAGCCGCAGAGCTGATTTCAGCTATCATGTCATTTCTTCAAAAATAAAAATAAAAACAAAAGGAAAAATAGATGCCATTGCACACAATAACATGAATGCTAGACCCACAGAATAAAACCACAAGCTTCCATCATGCAAACTACAGAGCACATGCCTAAATATATATATGAGAAGATTACCATTTTGCTTGCCATATGAATATGTTTAGTATTGATCCCAGTGTACAGGCCTCCCAATATTTGATTACGACACCTTATAGCCATGACAACCTACAGTAATGGGAAAGAGAAAATTTCAACAACTTGCAGTTGAACAGAGGAAAAAAACTTACTGGTGCATGAAATGATAGGCAGGCTTCTGCAAATACACACTTATAATATTTCACGTGATTCAAAGAAGCAGTGGAAACTACCCTTAAAAGAACCAACAGGTAACTAGAAAACAGATTTTGCAGTTTACACATGTACACAAAAATCTCAGTTACACACAAACTAAATAGAGTTCAAAGACGGTTGTAAAAAATATTTAACAACATAAAATTCTTCGGTGCCTGCAAAATTAAAACTTTGGTTTTAATAATCAACCAAAATAGCATACGTTTCATTTAACAGGCATTATTAAGGAAAAAAATAGGAATACCTTGTCACCAGAAAAACAGTCATTTCCACTGTATCAGATTAATTTTAAAACCAACGAGCAATGTGTCACACATTTAGCTACAAGTGACTATTAAATATTCAGTGGATATCGAATTCAACAAGATCATGAAAGAATGAACGAAAATACCATGCAGGAAGACAAACACAAATGCAAACCAAATTCTCCAGATATTTATCCTCAGAATTTCCAAAACAAACATGCAATTACGAATAGCAAAAATTAACGCTAAGGGATTAGAATAACTATACAAAAACTAGAAGTTTAGCAGGATATAAAAGCAAAGAAAACCAAACCAAACTACACCTTTTGATGTTTTATATATTAGGATGAGTACTCAAGAAAAAGAACAGAGCTAATTACAAGAAAAGATTAAAAAATTCCATGAGAAAGAGAGAGCAATTTAGAGATATGAATCAAATCGTATGTATTAAAAGTGAAGACAACATAAAAATATTTTAAATTGATATTAAAAAAAAAATGAAAATACTATTTTGTTAAATGAAAACTTTAAGAAAACAAATTTCAACTGTTTTATGAATAGAATCATAAAATTGTTTATCATTACGACAAAGGGATTCTTACATACATACCATGGAATTCTTATGCATATACAAATCTAACACCAAAACCTCAATTTTGACATGCTAATTGTTCTATGCATAAAAATGTAAAATACACCATTTTATGCATAGTTATCGTGACAAGTATGTAAAAATTGAAGTTTAAGTGTTAGATATGTATTCGCATAAGAATTTCATGATATGTACATAAATCTTCATAAGAAAAAGAAAAACACAAAACCCAACCACTTTCTCATCTCCTCAATGCCCTAAGTAAAGCAATCTCACGACCTCTCCCTTGCGGCCTCCCTGTCAGACTTACATGATAAACATCCCCCACAGCTGACCTGCACACAAGTATCAAGCTCACATAGAGTCGCGTATGCACCTATAACCCACTAACAGTTATCATTGCATCTCTCTCACTTACATTCTCTCCAAGTAAACGCCCACATCCTCCTCCCCTAATGCTTAGGGACGGTTTGGGGCAGCTGCAACTGTTTGAAGAAGCAAATTTAAAGCTGCATTAGAAGAAACTGCTTTTTAAAAAACTACGGTGGCTATTACAAATTTATTTTATTTTCAAAAAGTCAGACCATATCTTTTAGCAGTCGCCACACTTTAACAGCTCAGACAGAAAAAATAGATTTCTATCACAAAAATTTCTAAAAAACAACAAGAAAGAATTCCCCAAACAGAATTGTGGTGATGGTCTGAAAAGCAAAGCAGATAGAAAGCTGTCCCAAACAAACTCTTAATCACTCACTACACGTTTAACACACCCACACTGTCCTCTCACCACCTACACCCCACACTTTTTGGGTCTTTACCTCTCTACAACACAACTCCTATCATGACAATTACCTTACCAACAGCTCGCTTGCTCACTACATTGCTAAAACCCTCGAACCCCTCTATCTAGAGCATTGGGTCTTTACCTCTCTACAACACAACTCCTATCACGACAATTACCTTACCAACAGCTCGCTTCCTCACTACTCCATTGCTAAAACCCTCGAACCACTCTATCTAGAGCGAAACTCAACTACAACACTCAACTTCAGCACCCGCATACCAACGGTAGCAAACTAGCATCATTTTCTTTGCAACTCACCCAAAGTTCATTCTCAATTCATCTCTCTTACATGCAAATAACTTGCCCTTCTTTATTGGCTTTCCTTCAAGAAGTGAATTATGTAATATTGAGCTCAACTTCTTTGATGATCCAACACCCAATGACCTTATGTGATGTGGCACATCATACTTACTTTAAGGTGGGTCTCACAATCATAGGAGGTGGACCCAAGATGGAGCCCACAAACATAGATGGTTAACCCAAAGTGGGGCTCATAAGCACAGAAGGTGGCCAAAGATAAGGCCCCACAAGCACCAAGGTGAGAATCATTACTAGAACACAATCCAATAAATGATTCTCATTGAAGTGGGCCAATTACCAAGAGACAAATAGACATGGGGCTCCCATAGGGGTGGTTGGGGGGTGTTGAACCGGCTATATCCAACCAAACTCGTTTGGCCAAAAGAGGGGAAGGGTCGGTCAGCCCATTTTGTTAGGTTAAGATTTCCACCCAAGGGAAGGGGCCACCCCATCCTAGTTATCTATTATTTATAGGTCTTTTTCTTGTGTTAGGGTTCAATTTTTTTTGCTTGAGATTATTTCTGTCGTTGGTGTTTTCCCTTTCTAGGGTTTATCCTAGAAAAAGTGGTGCTCTGGTTGCACCCTGCTCCAAGGTGGTATTACCTGCCGTTAGGGTTCAATTTTTTTTGCTTGAGATTATTTCTATCGTTGGTGTTTTCCCTTCCTAGGGTTTATCCTAGGAAAAGTGGTGCTCTGGTTGTATCCTGCTCCAATGTGGTATTACCTGCGCACCTTTCTTTCTCTGCTTGTTGTCATGTTCCCCTCCAATTACCAGTACTCCACCCAGTTGTTGACTCCTAGTCGCATGTGTATTCCCCTTACAGTCGCAGGCTTCCTTCAAAAACATACTCTAAGTTGTTCCCCTCCACCCGCCAGCCTCCCTGCCCAACCGTTGATCCACAACAGCACAGTTCTTCCCCTTACAGCTAAAGGCTCCCTCCCATAACCTGCTTTAACCATTTCCTCTCCCAACCTACCGCCAATTTCACATTACCTGCACCTTTCTTCCCAACCTTCCAGCCACCTCCCTCCAACCGATCCCTCCCTACCTACACCGAGCTGCTCACCCTCACTACCTTTCAGCGCCACTTCTGCTTGTTATCTCCTACCCCACGCCACCTCACCGTTGTTCCACCACCTGTACCTGTTCCTGTCTATGTCATTTTGTTCCTGTTCTGAAGAGCCTTCATTGTACCCTTCTGAATTTCAGCAATAAAAATTTATTTACTACGGTATCAAAACTAGTATTTGGGTTAACTACGGTATCAACGAGCCTTCATTGTACCCTTCTGAATTTCAGCAATAAAAATTTATTTACGCCCCGATTTGGGTTAACTACGATATCAACTGGTATCAAAACTAGTCTAACCCTCGGCCTATCCTAGGATTTCCTATCCTCCTCCTTACACAAACATCCC